TGCCGCTACCTGACCACGCGCGTGAAGCCCCATGACAAGCTGGAGACCCCATCGCCTCCTCCCTCGCCCCCGCCGCCTCCAGCCCCCCCTGCTCTCCCCCTTCCCCTTCCCCTTCCCCCCTTCCCTCCCTCCCCCCTGCCTCCCCCTCCCCCTTCCTCCACCCCACTTCCTCCTCCTCCTCCTGCCCCCTCCCTACCTCATCCACCCCTTCCCCCTTCCTCCTCTAGGATGGGGAAGAGCAGGAGGAACAGAGGGGGGGGGGGGGCAGGAGCAGGAGTGGCGAAGAGGAGGGTGCTCATGGGAAAGAGGAGGAGGAGGAGCAGGAGGAGGACGAGGAGGAGGAGGAGGAGGAGGAGGAGGAGGAAGGGAAGAAAGAGGTGCGAGGAGGGGAGGAAGGGGAGGGGGGAGGCAGGGCTGGGGGTGGGAGATGGGGATGCGGAGGCCGGCGTTGCGAGGACATGCGGAAGGGGAGGGCGAGGAGGAGGTTCGCGGAGAAGGAGGGAGAAGGAGGAGAAGGGGAACGTGAGGGTGAACAGGAGGAGGTTGGATGCGGAAGGAGGGAGGGGGAAGGTGAGGATCAGGGAGAGGGGGAACATGGAGGGGAGCGAAGGCGGGTCCGCCCAACGGACATGGGTGACGACCCAACGCAGATATGGAAGCCGAACAATGCCACTACCGCGCGGCCCCGCGGGCTCCACACCAGGTGCGCCACCAGACCCCAGTGGCCCTCCCCGGTGAAGGAAAAGGTTGCTGATGAAGCCAGGGAGGGGGAAAATAATGGCATGGAGGAAGGAGAAGGCAGAGGCCGCGGCGGTGTGAGCTGGAGACCGCTGGGCATTGCGTTGCGACGAGCATGTGGCGCTCGGGTCATCGGCTGTCCGCATCCCTCTCCCTCGTCCTTCTCTTGCCCGCTCCAAGGCAGAGGGCGCAGACAAAACACACATGAGATGCTGTTGTGCGAATCCAAGCGTGGCGCTGCATTTGCTGCCCACGCTCATCGGCCTGGCGTTCTCGCTCCAGCGTTCCCCACTGAGCCCGGCGTTCCTGGTTGATTCGCTGGCGCACGGGGCCAGATTGTGCCACGTTGCGCGTCCGAATGTGTTCGGCAGCCTATGTGGCCTAGTGAAGTACGGCAAGCGATGGGAGGCGGCGCATTTGCTCGTTGGGGGTCCTGGGGGTGCTCAATCAAGCTGTTTCATTCTGCCGTATATATATATATATATATGTCATAAAGCTGGCGTTCCTTAATTCACATATCGTATCGCCTATGTGGCCGAGCGTTGTCGCAAGAGCTCTGCCAAGCTATCGGATCATGTGTTCCCCCAACGGTTTGTGGGAACCCTTCCGGGAACACTTGGGGGAGGGTAGCGGGGAAGATCATGAGGAGGAGGAGGAGGAGGAGGAGGAGGAGGAGGAGGAGGAGGGGGCATCTTGGGAGCCCCTGGGGGCACTCTTGGGGCCTCCTAGGAGCTTCCTGGGAGCCTCTTGGAGGCATCTTGGGGGCCTCCTTGGGCCTCTTCGGGGCCTCCTTGGGCGTCTCGGGGGCCTCTTTGGCCGTCTCAGGGCATTCCTGGCCCGTCTGACGACGTCGGGAGCCATCTTTGGGGCCTCTTTGGGCCGCCTCGACACTTTCCTGGGGTGCGCCAGGCCCGTCTTGGAGGCCATCTTGGGCGTCTTGGGCCGTCGTCTGGCCTTCTTGGGGCCGTCTTGGGGGCCTCGCGGGCCGTTTGGGGACCATCTTGGAGGCTTCTTGGGCGATCTTTCGGGGATCTTGGGCCGTCTCGAGCCTTCGGAAAGCAGAAAATAAGCACATGCCACAATCCTTCAAAAACCTTCACCAAATCAATGATTTGGCCTCTTCGGGCCTTCCTGGAGGCCCTCTTGGAGGCCTCTTGGGCCGTCTTGGAGACCTCCTGGGGGCCTCTTGGGCCGTCTCAGGCCATCTCAGAGCCATCTTGGACCGTCTTGGTGGGCTCCTGGTCCGTCCGTCCGACGCCGTCGGAAGCTGTCTTGGGGGGCTCTATGGCCAACTTGGGGCCCTCTTCGGACGCTTCAGGGTCGTCTTGGAGACCATCTCGGGCGTCTTAGAGGCCTCTTGGGCCCTTTTCGGGCCGCCTTGGGGGCCTCTTGGGCCGTCATGGGGCCATCTTGGAGGCTTCTTGGGCGATCTTGGGGCGACCTTGGGGGACTCTTGGGCCGTCCGAAGGCCGAACAAGTCGCAAATGACAAATCCGTCAAATGCACCAGGAACATCAATGATTTTGGCCTCTTCGAGCCTTCCTGGAGGGCCTCTTGGGGGTCTCTTGGGCCGTCTTGGACCATCCTGAGGCTATCTTAGGTCGTCTTGGGTGCATCTTGGGCCGTCTGGGAGGCATCTTGGGTCCATCTTGGGCCATCTTGACCGTCTTGGAGGCCATCTTGGGCCGTCTTGGGCGAGTTGTTGGGGAACGTTTTTCGCGATTGCGCGCCTTTCCGGGTGGCTGGCGCGCTGGGCCGGAGCCCCAGAGGAGAGGTCTTGTGGAAACAGAACCAAAACCCAAATTGGTAGGATTTAGCACGCCAGGCGGCCTTGTGGCAAGCCAACATGGGGCGGCGGATCGAAGACGCCTACGGCGAATCACCGCCGACCCCTGCCCTTGTAGAAGCGCCTATGTGGCTGACAGCTGGGCTAGAGCCTGGCCAAGCCAGCGGGCCAGTTGTTCCCCGAGTCGGTGTGGAGAGCCTTCGGGGGACGCGTGACGGAGCAAGAGTTTTGAAAGCGCTCGTGTGTCCGAACGTTGTGGCAAGAGCTCTGCCAAGCTATCGGACCATGTTCCCCCAACTGTTGTGGAAACCCTTCGGGGAACATTTCTGGGAAGATGGCGGGGAAGATGAGGAGGAGGAGGAGGAGAAGGAAGGAAGGAAGGAGGAGGAGAAGGAGGAGGAACAGAAGGAGGAGGAGATGAGGAGGAGGAGTCTTGGGCCGTCTTGGAGGCCTCTTGGGGTGTCTTGGGGGCCTCTTAGGGCCGTCTTGGGCCTCTTGGGCGATCTTTCGGGGCACTTGGGCCGTCTCGGGCCGTCGGGAGGCAGAAAAAAAGCAAATGCCTCAATCCTTCAGCAACTCATAGGAAACCAATGATTTTGGCCTTCTCGGGCCTTCCTGGAGACCCTCTTGGAGGTCTCTTGGGCTGTCTTGGGCCATCTTAGGGTCATCTTCGGCCGTCTTGGTGGGCTTCTGGCCCGTCTGACGCCGTCGGAAGCCGTTTGGGGGCCTCTCTGGGCCGACTTGGGGCCCTCTTGAAATGCTCCAGGGCCGTCTTGGAGGCCATCTTGGGCGCGTTAAAGGCCTCCTGGGCCGTCTTGGGGGCCTCTTGGGGCCGTCTTGGGGGCCTCTTGGGCCGTTCTGGGGCCATCTTGGAGGCCTCTTGGGCGATCTTAGGACGATCTTTGGGGGCTTTGGGGCCGTCTTGGGCCGTCGGAAGGCCGAACAGAAGCAAATGTCAATATCCTTCAACAACTTCAGGAACATCATTGTTTTTGGCCTTCTCGGGCCTCCCTGGAGGCCCTCTTGGAGGCCTCTTGGGCCGTCTTGGGCCAACTTCGAACCAACTTCGGCCATCTTGGTGGGCTCCTGGCCCGTCTGAAGCTGTCGAAAGCCGTTTGGGGGGCCTCTCTGGGCCGACTTGGGGCCCCCTTGGGGTGCTCCAGGGCAGTCTTAGAGGCTATCTTGGGCGTCTTGGAAGCCTCTTGGGCCGTCTTGGGGGCCTCTTGGGCAGTCCTGAGGCCAACTTGGAGGCTTCTTGGGCGCTCTGGGGGCGATCTTGGGGGCCTCTTGGGCCGTCTTGGGTCGTCGGCAACCCGAAAAGGAGCAAATACGAAGGACCTTTGAAAACCTTGGGAACATCAATGTTCTTGGCCTCTTCGGGCCCTCCTGGAGGACCTCTCGGAGGCCTCTTGAGCCGTCTTGGAGGCCTCTTGGGCACCTCGTGGGCCGTCTTGGGCCGTCTTGGAGGTCTCTCGGGCGGATTTAGGCATCTCCTCCTCTCTTGGGCGGACTTGGAAGCCATCTTGGACTATCTTGGGGGCCATTTTGGGCCAACGTGGCCATCTTGGAGGCCATCCTGAACCGTCTTGGAGGACACAATTTAGATTTGGGCTCTGGGCAGTGGCCGGCGGGACGGGCCGAAGCCCCAGGGGGAGTTCTTTTAGAAAGAACCAAATCCCAAACCTAGAGGATCTAGCGCGCCAGGTATCCTTGTGATGAATCAACAGGGGGCGGCGGATCAAAGATGCCTACGGCGAATCACCGCCGCCCCCTGCCTTCTTGGAAGCGCCTACGTGGCCGAAAGTTGGGCTAGAGCTTGGCCAAGCCATCGGACCACGTGTTCCCCGAGTCGGTTTGGAAAGCCTTCGGGGAACACGAAGGGGAGAGTGAACACGAAGAGGAAGCGGAAGCGGAAAAGGACGAGGAAGAGTAGGAGGAGGGGGCTTCTTGGAATCCTCATGGCTGCTTCCTTGGCTCTCTTGGGAGAGGGCTCCCAGAGGCAGCTTTGGCAGGATGTCTCGAGCGAAACGCTTATTTCCTAACAAACGTAAATAACTTGTTTGTTTCAAGATTCTGGCTTCTCGAACTATCTTGGACGTCTTTCGAGAGCGTTCAGACATGATATTCGAACCCATGTTATGTAAGATGCATGCTTTAAGGATGTCCCTAGCGAAACGGCCGTTTTTTGAAAATCCGAAGACGAGGCCATCGAGGTCCCGATCCCACATTTCTGAGGATGTCTGCAGCGAAGCGCTGATTTGTATCCTAAGGCATCTTAGGCTGGAATCCTCCAGAGCGCGATTTGCCGAGGATGGCCCTAGCGAAACGGCCGTTCTGGGGGCTTTGCAGCCACCTCTGGGCAACCGTCCCGGGACCCCGGCAGGACGGGCCGAAGCCCCAGGGGGCAAATGTCAAAATCCGTCAAAAATTTTAGGAAAATCAATGATGTCTCTTCTGGTCTTCCTGGAGGCCCTCTTGGGGGCCTCTTGGGCCGTCTTGGGCCAGCTTCGAGCCAACTTCGGCCATCCTGGTGGGTCCCTGGCACGTCTGACACCGTCGAGAGCCGTCTTGGGGGCCTTTTTGGGCCGCCTTGGGGCCCTCTTGGGGCGCTTCGGGGCTGTCTTGGAGGCCATCCTGGGCGTCTTGGAGGCCATCTTGGGCGTGTTGGAGGCCTCGTCTTGGGGCCCTCTTGGGGCCGTCCTGGAGGCCACTTGGGCCGTCGTGGGGCCGTCATGGGGCCCTCTTGGGCGATATTGGGGGCCTCTTGGGCCGTCTTGAGCCGTCGGAATGCCGAGAAGAAGCAAATGCCAAAATCCTTCAAAAATCCAAGCAAAATCAATGATTTTGGCCTCTTCGGGCCCTCCTGGAGGACCTCTTGAAGGTCTCCTGGGCCGTCTTGGAGGCCTCTGGGGGGCCCCTTGGGCCGTCTTGGACTCTCTTGGGCCGTCTTGGAGGCCGTCTTGGACCATCTTGGGCGGACTTGGAGGCCATCTTGGATCATTTGAGCTCCCCGGCAATCCTCCCAGGACTCCGGCGGGACGGGCCGAAACCCACTGGGAGAGTTCTTTTGGAAAAAGAACCAAAACCAAAACCGAAAGGATCTAGCACGCCAGGCACCCCTGCGATGAATCGACAGGGGGCGGCGGATCCAGTGACTTTCGGCCCATCCCGCCACCGTGCATGGGTTGTGGGTGTGAAGCCTATTTTATGTTAGTTGGGATATCGTGGGAGGCCCCTCGGGGGTCTCTTGGAGGCAGCTTGAAAGCCTCTTGGGGGCTGTTGTGGGGCCTCTTGAGGCCTCTTTTGGGCCTCCCGGGTGCCGCTTGGGCTTCCTGGGCGCCTCTTGGGGCTTCTTGGGGGCTTCTTGGGGCGCAAGGCTTGGATCCTCGGTTTTGTTATTTCTCTTGGGGCCCTTCGGGGGCCGGCTTGGGGCTGTCTTGGGCCGTCTTGGGCGCCTCTGGGGCCATCCCGGGGCGCTCTTAGGCCGTCTTGGGGCCCTCTTGGAGGCCTCTTTGGCCGTTCTCGGGTAATCTTGGGGGCCTCTTGGGCCGTACTGGAGTGTCGGAGAGCCGACAAGGCGAGAACACCCAAACCCTTCAAAGAACCAGAAAACACCAACTCATTGTGGCCCCTTGGGGCCTCCTTTGGAGGCCTCTTCGAGACCTCTACTGTCAAAAACCCTAATAAAGACGCGCGACTTTGCTCAGGGTACCCTTGCGTCCTTGCTCTTCCTTGCTCTTGCGCCCTTGAGGTTTTCGTCGTCCGCCGCCCCAAAAATCCCAACTTCGGCTTCCAAGGGTCTTGCGTCCTTACCGCGCGTCCTTATTAGGGTTTTTGACTGTAGGGGCGTCTTGGAGGCCTCCTGGGGGCCCCCCTGGCCCGTCTCTGCGGCCTCTCGGGGGGGCGTCTCCCCGAGCCCAGGGGCGCGCGCCGAGCCCCAGGGGGGCGGGAGATGCGAGCGCGAGGGGCCCCAGGGGGGCCTCGTCAAAAGGCGCAGGAGCGAGGATTGAGGCTTCGAGGTAAGTCGGGCCTGTCCCTCTACAGGGGGCAGATTCAGGAATAGTCAGAACATAGTACGGGGACCATGTTTTAGTTTTTTTTTGCATTTTGGGATTGTTGTTTGCGTATGTTTAATGTTTCGGCCAAAATCCCCCTGTAGGGGGACAGGCCCGACTTACGCCCAGGATCTGGAGACACGCCCATTCCGTGCCTAGGGTTGAGTTCCATATCTTCGGATGTTTAAGGCACGTCTTCTTGATAACGCCAGTGGCCCCGACTCGGGCGATGTCGAATGATCAGCGCCATCGGGAAACCGCGATCGCTCAGAGTTGGTAGGTCCACGCGGTAACAGACACCAGAGCTGGGGTCGCCAACTTGCTGCGCAACGAGCGCGCGCTTGAAATACAAAGCGGGTGGGTACATGCTTTTGATCTCAAGTGCCAATTCCAACGGCACGCGTGGGGCAGCGTACTTTCTACTCGCGTCGAGTTCGGGCTCAGTGTCAGAAGCGGACGTGTTGCTAGCTTGTCTCAGGCGTCGCCCTTAATCTCTCCCATTATCATTGCCTCACCTCCCTCCTCACCCCTCTGCCTTTTCCGCCACCTTTTTCTCCACAGTCTCATCTGCCTCCCCCTCATCTTCCGACGGCGTGCTTGGAAGGGCCACTCCTCCACTCTTGGGCATGCTCAAGCTGGTTAACGGCTCCGGCTTGGCGTCTGCAGCAATTCGTTGTTCCAACGCGTTTGCTCCTTCAATTCCCTGATCAGGTCAGCTCGCATACCCATCTGTTTTGCATGGTGAGGACACGCGAGGCGATGAGAAGTTTGCGGCCCGATCGGGCGACGCCGACAACGACGAGGACCACGACAACGACGGCTGCGGCCTCGAACAGGATGTTGATGGCGACGATGGTCTCGAACGCGGCCCGTGCGTCGAGCGGGCCCAGCGCAGAGACGACGGACCTGGCGCGACGGCGACAAAGACGACACGGGCCAAGACCCCGACGGCAGCCACCTGCAAGGCACTTGGGCTCCGCCCGCCTGGCTCCCGTCCGGCTCCCACCCCGAAGGTTGGCAGTTTGCCATCCTTTGGGGGGGGGGGCAAGCGCGCGCCCTGGCATTTGGCCGGGGCAGCGACGCGGTGGCGGGCGCATAGCGGCCTCTCATCGGACGGGCGCCGTCGTGGACCGGCGCATCGGCGGCGACGACGTCGACGGTGGCGACGGCGCCGACGACGTCGGCGCCGGCGAGCGGGGCGGGCGGCACCTGCGCCGCGCGCCGCTCGCTGCGCGCGGCGGCGCAGCACGCTGCTCGCTGCGTGCGGCGGACGACGAGGGCCAGGACCCTGGCGGCGGCGGCGGCGATGGCAACGGCGCCAACGGCGACGGCCTTGGCGAGCGGGGCGGGCGGCGAGCGCGGCGAACGCGCCGCGCGCCGCGCGGGGCGGGGTGGGGGGCCTCGGAGGACCTCGCGCTGCAGGGCCAAGAGCCGCACGGGACGTTCGAGGCCGTGGGCGCGGCGCGCGCGGGCCCGCGCGCTTCTGGGCCCCCCCTCCCTCCTCCTCCTCCCTCCTCCTCCTTCTCCTACTCCTCCTCCTCACTCCTCACTCCTCTCCTCACTCCTCCTCCTCCTCCTCATTCTCCTCCTCCTCATCATCCTCCTCCTCCCATCCTTCCAGAAGGTGCCACTAGCGGAGCACCTCGCTGGTTTGAAGGCCCTCAAGGTAGCTCAGTTCCCTGCCATTGTTGTCAGTGATCATTTGAATGTGGTCAGGGTGGGACAGCTCTGGATCTCAGCGTGCGAAGATGCTAGCTCGAGGCATGCCGCCGTGTGGAGGCAGATCAGGAGCATGTACCGTGATGAGCCAGGGCCCGAGTTTGTGTCCCCCCAGCGAGCAGGAGGGTGCGGCGAGGGCCCTGCGCATCCATCGGCCGTGGGCCTCGGATGCTTTCCGCCACGAAGAGCAGAAGCTCCGCAGGCGAACACAGATCGGTGCCGAACCGAGGCGTTCAGCCCGATGCCCAATAGGGAGAGAGTGAGATCCAATGCGCCATCCGCAGCGGCAGCAGCAGCAGCAGCAGGGGCAGCCTCCTCCTCCTCGTCCTCCTCCTCCTCCTTCTCGCTCCTCCACCTCCTCCTCCTCCTCCTCCTCCTCCTGCTCCTCCTCCTCCTCTTCCTCGCTCCTCCTTCGCCTCCTCCTGCTCCTCCTCCTCGCTCCTCCTCCTCGCTCCTCCCTCGCCCCCCCCTCCTCCCGAGGTCCTCCCTCCCTTGCTCCTCTCTCCCGAGAGGGCAGGCCTCGGCGGGCAGGCGCGAGAGCGCGCGCGCGCGCCGCCCGGGCCGCACTCCTGACGTCCGGGCGCCGCACCTTGCCGCATTTTTCAAGCAGTGGCGAAGCGTCCTGGCTCGCCTATAGCCACATTGAAGAATGTTCTAAGAACGTTTGGTGGTCTGCACGAAATGGTCTGAGAACAGTTCTGGCCAGGGCAGTCTTGTTTTAACACATCGGGTTCATGTTCTAATCACATGGTTTTTGTTATTCGAACACTTCTGTGTTGTAGGAACATTTCATGGTAGGACTATAGGAAAGCCGGGACGGTCGGTCCCTGCTCAAATCTTCTTCCGCATGCGGCGATGTCGTTTCGTCGCGGGCCCAGGGAGCATCACAGATAGATTTGGTCAAAAGACCCAGACGTCCTCGAGCAATGAACAAATCCTGACGGGAGGTCTGTCGCCATTTTCGGCCTCTGGGGGCCCTTGCCGGGCCTCGGGAACGTCAAAAAACGACTCGGGATGAAGAGCCGGTCCCGGGGAAGGGGTCGAGACCTCTGGGGGTCGACGTAATGAAAAAGATAATGACGTCGGGGGTCTGGGGAGACGGGGGTGAATGCAAACGGGGGTCAGCTGCAGGACTCTGCAGCGCTGGGGTTGCATCGACCCGGGCTTGGGTGCAGGATCCTGCAGGGCCTTGCGGGATCCTCCGTATTGACCCAGGCTTGGGTGCAGGATCTTGCAGGATCTTGCAGGATTCTGCAAAGCCTGACTGACCCGGGTCTAGATTCATCCGGGTCAGAAGATCCCCGATCCGGCTCGAAAATTGGTGCAACGAATGATGGTGTCCAGGCTTCCGGTCATGATTTTCATGCCTGCGGATTACTTGGCAGCTTTACATCTCAGGGAACGGAGGGCCACTCGGAGGAGGACCCGTCGCGCCACCCGACGAGGAGGAATGGGGGGGCACAATGTGACGCTCGACCTTGTCGTCGCGACGCAGGGTGGAAGCTAGTCGCGGTTTTCGGTGGCAGACTGTCGCGCCGCTCGCGGATGAGGATGAGGAGGAGGAGTAGGAGGAGGAGGAGGAGGAGGGGAAGGAAAAGGCAGAGGTGGAGGACGAGGAGGAAGAGGAAGAGGAAGGGCAGGTGATCGACGGACGAAACGCGCGTAAACGCCATCTTCTCCTGTCGGCGTGCCACGCCGGCGACCCGCGTAAGCCGCAGTGTGAGGTCGCCATGCTTTCTCGCTCTAGACCCAAAAGCTTGTCGCGCCACAACCACCCAAGGAGGGGGAGGAGGAGGAGGAGGAGGAGGAGGAGGAGGAAAAAGAGGAGGAGCAGGAGGAGGAGGAGGAAGGGAGAAGGGAAAGGGACACAATGTGACGATTCACCCCGTCGCCCCGACGCAAGAGGATGTCAGTGGGTGGCGGACGGAGGTGGCGGACATGTCGCGCCACTCGGGGAGGCGGGGAGGGGAAAAGAAGAGGAGGAGGACGAGGAGGAGGACGAAGACGAGGATGAGGAGGAGGAGGACGCGGGCGAAAATTTGGAGGAGGACGAGGAGGAGGAGGGCGAGAGGGAGGAGGAGGAGGGGGAAGGGCAATGTTCGTTTGTTTTTGTATGTCTTTTCTTCTGCTTGCGCCGATGTGTCTGGCCTGTGTATGTTTCGCACTGCGGCCGTTTGGAACACCTGGTCCGCAGTCTGTGTTGGTGTGTGCGTGTGCGTGTACGTGTGCGTGTGCGTGTGCGTGAGTACGTGCGTGTGTGTGTGTGTGTGTCGGTGTCTGTGTCTCTGTGCCTCTGTGTCTCTGTCTCGGTGTCTCTGTTTCTCTGTGTCTATGTGTCGGTGTTTCTGTGTGTCTGTGTCTCTGTGTCTCTGTGTCTCTGTGTGTCTGTGTCTCCGTGTCTCTGTGTCATTATGTTTCCTTGTCTCTGTGTCTCTGCGTCTCTGTGTTTCTGTGTCTCTGTGTTTCTGTCTCTGTGTGCCTGTGTGTCTGTGTGTCTATGTATGTCTGTGTCTGTGTCTGTGAGTCTGTGTGCATGTGTGCCCGTGTGCCTGTGTTCCTGTGTGCCTGTGTTGGTGTGTGTGTACGCGTGTGCGTGTGCGTGTGCGTGTGCGTGTGTGTGTTGGTGTGCGTGTGTGCATGTGTGCGTGTGTGCGTGTGTATGTGCGTGTGTGCGTGTGCGTGCGTGTGCGTGCGTGTGCGTGCGTGTGCGTGTGTGCGTGAGTGCTTGTGTGCGTGTGCGTGTGGCGTGTGTGCGTGTGTTTGTGCGTGTGTGCGTGTGCGTGCGTGTGCGTGCGTGTGCGTGCGTGTGCGTGTGTGCGTGAGTGCTTGTGTGCGTGTGCGTATGTGTGTGTGTGTGTGTGTGTTTGTGCGTGCGTGTGTGTGTGTGTGTGTCTGTGTGTATGTGTGTCTTTGTGTGTGCGAGAGCGTGTGAGCGTGTGTGCGTGTGTACGTGTGTGCGTGTGTGCGTGGGTGCGTATGTGCGTGTGTGCGTGTGTGCGTGTGTCTTGTGTGCGCGCGTGTGTGTATGCGTGTGCATGTGTGTGTTTGTGTTGTGTTGTGTGTGTTGTGGTTGTGTGTGTGCTTGTGTGTATGCTTGTGTTGTGTGTGTTTGTGTTGTTTGTGTTTGTGTGTGCGTGTGTGTGTGCATGTGTATGTGGGTATATGTATGTTCGTGTTCGTGTGCGTGTGTGCGTGTGCGTGTGCGTGTGCGTGCGTGTGTGTGTGTGTGTCTGGTGTGTCTGGTGTGTTTGCGTGTGGTGTGTGTGCTTGTGTTTGCGTGTGTGTGTGTTTGTGTTTGTGCGTGTGCGCGTGCGCGTGCGCGTCCATGTGTGTGTGTGTGTGCGGGTGCGTGTGCGTGCGCGAGCGCGTGTGCGTGTGTGTGTGTGTGTGTGCGTGTGTGTGTGTGTGTGTGCGTGCGTGTGTGTGTGTGTGCGTGCGTGTGTGTGTGTTTGTGTGTTTGTGTGTGTGGATGTGTGTGTGGGTGAGTTTGTGGGTGTTTGTGGGGGTGTGTGTGTGGGTGTGTGTGGGTCTGTGTGGGTGTGTGTGTGTGTATGCGCAAGTGTGCGCGGGTGTGCGCGGGTGTGCGCGGGTGTGCGCGGGTGTGCGCGGGTGCGAGTGCGCGTGCGTGTGCGTGTGCGTGTGCGTGCGCGTCTGCGCGTCTGCGCGGGCGAATGCGTTCTCGGGCGAGCGCGCTTGTGCGAGCGCGTGTGCGTGTGCGTGTGCGTGTGCGTGTGCGTATGCGTCTGCGTCTGCGTCTGCGTGTGCGTGAGTGGGTGTGCGGGTGTGCGTGTGTGCGTGTGTGCGTGTGCGTGTGCGTGTGCGTGTGCGTGTGCGTGTGTGTGTGTGTGTGTGTGTGTGTCTGGTGTGTCTGTGTGTGGTGTGTGTGTGCTTGTGTTTGCGTGTGTGTGTGTGTTTGTGCGTGTGCGCGTGCGCGTGCGTGTGCGTGTGCGTGTGCGGGTGCGTGTGCGTGCGCGTGCGCGTGCGTGTGTGTGTGTGTGTGAGTGTGTGCGTGTGCGTGTGCGGGTGTGCGGGTGTGTGTGTGTGTGCGTGTGTGTGTGTGTGTGTGTGCGTGTGCGTGTGCGTGTTTGCGTGTGCGTGCGGACTGGACGGCAGCCGCGCCCTCGTTCGCGCGCGCCCGCCCCCCCCGAGCGTCTACAGGACCTCCCCCTCACCGCTCGCGCCCGCACCGCGCGGCCCTCGGCCCTCCAAGTCCCCGCCGGGCCCTCCCGGCGATGGCCGCGGGCGGCGGCGGCGCGCCGAGGCCTCGGCGGCACTCACGGCTCGCCGCGGCCGCGGCGCTGGCGGCACTGGTTGGGCCAGGGCGGGAGGAGACCGCGAAGGCCTCACAGCTGGTGCCGCCGACCCTGAAGAGAGACGGCGACGACAGCGGCGGCGGCGACGACGAAGATGCGGGCGGGGGCCAGAGTCCTCAGTGATGCCCCGTGGGGTCTCTCAGGAGGGTTGTCGGGCGCGGGGGCCTCGCCAGAGGAGCGCAGGCGGCTGTTGTTGGGCCGGGGCGGGAGGTGATTTTTGCCGGTGAATCCGTGACGTCCGTTACGGAGGTCGCCCCTGGGCACCGCCCACGGGCACCTCGCGAAAGCCGCTCCAGGCGCCCGCAGGCACCTCCCAACCCTGAGATCCGACGTTGCAAAAGCATTGCAACATCGCAAAAAATCACCACCGGAGCCCTGGACCCCATGTCTCTGCGTCATCTCACGAGCCGGATCGAT